TGACTTGGTCCGCGAAAAGATCCAACCAGTCCATACTTCAGGAAATAAAGCCCAACTGCTCATTGGAGGAAAGGATATTAGAGGCAAAGATGAAGTACTTTGGCCACATAATGAGAAGACAGGAAAGCTTAGAGAAGACAATTATGCTGGGGAAAATGGAAGGAAAAAGGAAGAGGATGGATGGCATCCTTGAAGTGACTGGCTTGACCTTGAAGGAGCTGGATGTGGTGACAGCCGACAGGGAGTTCTGGCGTGGGCTGGTTCATGAGGTCATGAAGAGTCAGAAGCGACTGAACAAATGAACAGCAGCAAATGTCATAGTGTTCCCCATTACTATGTATGGTTGTGAAAGCTGAGCAGTGAAGAAAAGCTGATAGGAAGAAAACCAATTCAGTTGTGATGTGGTGCTGGAGAAGAGTTCTGTGGGTATCTTGGACAAATAAATGAGTAAATTATCTCCCTAGAAGCAAAAATGATGAAACTGAGACTATTGTACTATGGATATATATGAAACGAGATTACTCACAAGAAAAGACAGTTATGCAAGATAAAGTAGAAGGCAGTAGGAAAAGAGGAAGACCACAATTCAAATGGATAGACTAAATCAAGGAAGTAAAATCCCAAGTTTGCAAGAATTGAGCAGGGCCATTGAGGTCTCTCATTCATAGAGGCATCATAAATCGAAGTTGACTTTCAGGTAGATAACAACAATTGGAGTGAATCTCTAAAACACAGTATCAGAACAAAGAAAATTTCAAATCATGTTGTTGTAACAGAAATTATTAATTTAAAAATAATTCATTATATCAGCACTATAAGTACCTGTACAATATATTCTAAACTAAAGTATCAATAAAGCCAATATCGATAATTATGATTATTATGATGATATCTTTATATAAATACCGTAATAAGAAATAATCTTTAAGTACATGTAACAAGATCCTCCTTTCAAGAAAACCAAAGCTAATTCTCTTAATTATGTCAAAGCTAAGGTCTTTTAGCTCCTATTGATTTCAGATTATATTTTTCATCAAATGTGTGATTAACTCAATGGCTGTGTTTACACTGGATCATGTTCCAGCGTTCAATGAAATACTGTAGTAACACCCAAACAAATTTTCAACACCTTTTCCATTAATCAGAACACCATGAAATGTTCATTTTTACAGCATATTTTGAACTTTTCACATTTGTACCACCTTTCTCTTATGAATCAGTTACATTCTACATGTGGCCTCAGGAGGCATTTATATAAATTGTTAAATTGAGTTAAATACTGCAAAATAAATTTGTCTTTTATTGGTTGGCACCTGTGACTTCTGTATTTCAGACACAAACTATTTACATAAGTATATTCTTCACATTTTCCATGTAAGGTGGGTTGAATCATGAAAACAACAAAAGATGCCACTGAATTTTCTTGAGCTGTACTTTCTTAATAGAAATCATTCATTACCTCTGTGGTTAACAGATACACCCCAGGAAGGGTCATTAATGACAGAGCTCGAAGCTGCCACAAGCATTCTAGCCCAATCTCCTACTAAACAGCAGGACTAACCATTCACCAAACTTGGCAGTTCAGACTACAATGTGCCACAAGCTGAGAAAGCTGACGCATTGCATAAAAGTACTTACACAGTAAATAGCTCCTCATATTTCAAGCAAGAGGACCGCGGCACAAGCTACACAGGAATGAAACTCCTGCCTAACAGGATCCAGCCTATATATCCTGACAGAAATTTCCCTCTAAACCAGCCAGATCCCAAGAATGAACAAGGCCTCAACCCAAGTGGACATCTTGTGGGTACACTCCATACCTCTCCAAAAGCTATATGACAAAATGCTAACTCACAAATTACCATCTTAGTGAAAGATTATAACCCACTCTGCTTATATATACCATTAGAAAGATGTAAAAAAAAATTCTTTCTTTCCTAGTAGCAGGTACTGCCAAAAGATGCTTCACTCTCAATTTGCCTTGGCCTAGTACTTGTTTCAAGGGGAATTTCCTAATGCCTAGTTTGATGTCTCCATTTCTGTCCCACAAGCTGCAGTTCCCTCCCATTTCCTGTGGCACAGCTTGCTTTTCCCCAGGCAATTCCCCTAAATTACAGAACCCTTATGTTAGCACTTCTTAGAGCGTTTATGTGCATCGTCCATAACCTTGCCAGAGCACTACACAGTATGTGGATGCAGTATGTGGATGCAGCAGTCCTTTCACTGCTAGGCAAGAGCCACCTGAACTTTAAGAAATTTAAGAACATTCCAAAATTCTAAAATTGCAACAGCAAAAACAGCAGAGAGGAAACAGGCAGGGACATCTAATTACCTTTCAAGAAGAGTTTGCTCCAGGCACAGTCAGCCCATTGTATGCTAATCAAGGTGGTCAGTTGAAATATTCACACCTAGCCCAACTGACAAAAGTCTTTTGTCTCACCCTGGTCATTCCACAGATATATAAACCCTTTTTCCCAGTTCCAACAGACCTCACCTCTGAGGATGCTTGCCATAGATGCAGGCGAAACGTCAGGAGAAATGCCTCTAGAACATGGCCATATAGCCCGAAAAAACCCACAAGAACTTAGTGATTCCAGCCATGAAAGCCTCCGACAATACAATTTAAGAACAGTTTGCAATACAAGGAGGAAACATAACAGACACTTTATTGCTGTTATAAGCACACCGGTAACTCTCTGTATTCAAAGATGCTGCATCCACTGCTTAAAAATATTATTCCACCCGCCCCAAATCCAAAAAAGAAACCTTGATTTTGCCATTTGATAGAAGGCAACTTTTACTACATCACTGTATATAGTGGGTCTTAAGCATCCATGGATTTTGGTATCCGCAGGGGTTCTCGGAACCAAGCCACAGCAATACCAAGGACCCCTTGTATATCAAGATAAATCTTAAAGCAGCTTATTACCTGACTTCTACCCAAATATTCACTTAGGGCAGCAGGAATGGTGGTATTCAGATGGTGAAAAGGAGGGATTCAAAGAATTTTGGGGAAAGGAGACCATCAGCTCCAACCCACTGCAGCCAGTCATGTCTTTCTGAAGCAGGTGTGGAAAACTCTCCTAGCTGGTTTTCAACCAGCCAGGAGAATGGAAGGAGAAGAGGAAAACCACTGCAACCCCCAATAGAATTTAGCCACTGGGAACCCATTTTTATTACCAGTCTATTCCACCAGGACGTAACACCATTTAACCCACATATAAAAATGTACTGCAAGTTTAGACTGACCCAAAATTATACAAAACTGTGTACTAGTGTACATTTTCAGTGAGACAGGGTCAAAACCTTTCTGAAAATATGAGTGATATTGCAGTAAAGAGATGCACCTTAATATATCTTTACAGCCTTTAAAATCTTTCTGATGCCAGGCAAACTGCTTTGCAATGCTCATTTGTTTGGATACACTGAACATATTGGAAGCTTAAGTGTCTTTTGCTTTTAATAGGGAAGATCTTGGAGAAGTGGGTCTTACTATGGAAATAAACACAACACATCACAAAGGAGCCTCTGCTCATACTTAATCCCTCCTTCCAATATAACTTTATGGATGCTAAGTTTGTGGGAGGTGGAAGGGGAAAAGAAGCAAGTTTTAAAGCATTGGGAAAACAAAAACAAAAAACAAAACAAATAGTAGCAATGCCCAGGAGTGATTTTAATTTCTGCACTTAACATCTTGAAAATAATGACATTAGAAGGCTATGACAGCAAGTCCAGATTCTGTGTTCCAATCCCCCTACTTTCTGTCCCTTATACCCCAATGCAGTCTTCCTCACCATATGTGTTTTTATATATAAATCCTCCATTTACTGCTTGCAACTAGTTTTTGTCAAATATGCTGACATATTTCGGCAAAATGAAACAACAGTATTAAAAGAAATCAAGTAAAATTTAAAATAATATTATATTATCTATTGTTGTGTATTGTTTTCATTGAAAACATATATAGATCAGATATCTGCAATAATTATTATTAACTTACTTTTTCTGCTTTTAGGTATGGTTCCTATTTTCAAGTTTGACAAGAAAGCAAAAAGGAAAAAAAAAACTAACTGAAGGAGTATATCAAATTATGTAGGACCACACTGGGAATCTGCCATTTCTTCCATGAAAAAAACTTTTACCACTGAAAATATTGTATTGCATTGTACAGAAGAGTTCTTCTCTTTTTAAAGGCCCTTGACATTTCAGTTCCTAGGCATAAGAATCTTTATACAAACTGGAGTTTTCTTCTAAGTAGAATGGAACAAGACAGTGCTCTTACTTTTGGTTGGTAGGTAGACACTATAAACAAAGTATAGTTTGAGAATCCTCATTCAGATATATGAAATTCTCCAAAATCCAAAATTCCCAACACGAGTGGCTAAGATAATGACAGGTTTGCTTTCTGGTGGTTCAATGTATATTTCATGAAGAAAAATATTTAAAATATTATATAAAATTATCTTGAGGCTATGTATATTAGGTGTATATGAAACAAAAATAAATCTGATTTTCTTGTTTTGATTTGGATCCCATCTCATTATGTCCATATATGGAAATGCAGGTATTCCAAAATCTCAAAAAATCTGCAATCCAAAACACTCCTAGTCCTGGTCCCAGTCCCAAGCATTTCAGATAAAGGCAATTCAACCTATATTTAAATTCCATGAATGCTCTTTAAACCTCTATGCTGCAAAGTTCATTGAGCCCTCTCCCAAAACACTGTTCTTTGCATTCATTTAGATAAACATTTTTATTGCCCATCTGCTTCTTTGCAGAAATATTTGTGACAGTCTTTAAAATACTTGTGAGCAGGGTGGCGCTGTATACAGACACAGAACTATTACAAATGTCTTTAAAAAAACTAACCTAAAACCATGCATGTAGTCTTTTTGCATATGAGAAATCTCTTTGACGTCCTAAGCAACACATATGGTATACCGCATACTGCAGCAAACTCTTTAAACATTCAATAAAACAAAACCAATCTGCTTGCCTACCTTGTACAGCTCTGCCTATTGAACACTTCAATCAACCAAACAGAATTTTCTAATGAAATAGTGGCCATCTCTTTCCAATTGCATCATGACGGTGAATAAGTCTCCTGTGAAAGAATTATTGCTGCTTGTTTTCTCCCGCCTCTCTGAAAGCCATATGCCTTATCTGGGGATTTTCCTTTGGATGATGAAGCAAAGGCAGGCTGAATTCGGTTGGTGAAAGACTGCAGCCCTTCCTTCCAGCAAAATCCCTCCCAGAGTACTGTAGCCAATCACACAGGCGCTCAATAGCTCTACTGGTCTTAAACTGGTTGGAATAGAGTGACTGACAAGGCAGTGCCGCTTGTCTAATGTGCAAAAACAATGCCTTCATACCAGTGGAAAAAAAGGAATCTCCCTTTGCCTGGAAAAATGGTGCTTCTGCGAAGGCAAAACAAAAACCTACAAGAAGCAGAAATGTACTGGAATGCCACCCGATGCTAAAACAATGATTCACTTGTGTCATGATTACAAGCAGCTTTAAACGAATGCACACAAGAATGCATAGAGAGAGAGAAAGATGCACACAGAATGCAGAAAACAAAATGGATTTAAAAACAGTAGCAATGCTTCAAATATAACCGCACTAAACAAAAGCAGTCCTACTGGTATTTACAGGTCAGCCCAGCATTGGAGGGTTGTGGGTAACAGGATGCCATCTGCTGATGCTGAGATTTATTCATGCATATTAATTCAACCACTGTAACCTTTATTTAAAAAAGAATGTTGCTAGGATGAATCAGATGAGATCAGGCTACAGGTTTACAATTGCCACATTGACGTGGCAATTGCATTTCTTTACTGTGACTATATTTTGTTGCAAATATGATTCAAACCCATATTTTCTCTCCTAATTTTAAGTAGAGGCTGATTTTTCATAATAAATTTGATGCACATTCAATAATGGAAAGGAGACATGGGGTACTAAAGTAATCACTGAACACACAAATGTTTTCATTCATTTTAGGAGTTCACTTTTGGATTATTGAATGACTTTGAACTTCAGCAGTTCAACAGCAAGCTCCTGAAATGAATGAAAACATGCTTACAGCACATGCCAAGTTTACAAAATATCAAAATACCAACTGAAAAATGAATAGATTTCAACAAATTGTAGAACCTGATGTGAACTTTCAAACTCCTCAGGGAGATGACTGAGAGCTGGTGGTCACCACAATAAAGGTCATACCACAGCTTGCAAAAGTTGTTTAAAAAAATAATAATGTAAAGTTCTCAGTATCTCCTCATCCACAATGGCTACAGCAGGAGGATTTTGATAGTTATGGTTCATCAAATAAACATTCTCACATCTTCTGGCTAGCTTTATTTGTTTGTTTGTTTTGTAACATTGGGAGGATAGTAAAGGAGGAAGATAGGATTTTTATGTTACCTGCAGTAAACAATGCAATAAAATATGACTAGGGAAAGAATGGGATTATCCTGTGGGTGATCATATTGCTGTCATATGTGCCTGCTTACAACAGGGAAGGTAAAAGCAGCTGTTTCCAGCATTCCTTAATAAGTACATGTGAACAGCAAAACAGAAAGAAAGGGAGACAGAGAATACGCCTACCTTGGCAGTTACATCCAAAACGTTAAAAATCATTGCTATCAAATATTTTTAAAGGTAGGTTTGGAAGATGAAGGAAGGAAGAAGGAAGCTAAATATCTTTGTGAACCTGAAAATAGTACAAGTAGTTCAGGGCTATTTTTTAAAAAAACAATACCTCAATGATATTCCAGATGAACCATTCAAAGAGGCAGAACAGATTAAACAAACATATCAAGAGAAGAAATGTGATGATGTCATGAGGTCAAAAACCACCAGAGAAGTTGAAACAGGTATTGAAATGTCATAAATCAATACTGGTTGAGCATCTCTTATCTGGAATCCCCAAATCCCCATTTCTAGGTATCTCATTATGTATGTATATGCAAACACAAATATTTCAAAATTTAAAACAGCCACCCACAAATCCAACACTTTTAGTCTCTAGTATTTTGGATAAGGAATACTCAATCAAGTAGTAATCCATGGACAAAGAAGGGTCTATGAAGCACTGGCTGCCAGTCTGGTGAATTTTCAGGAAACAAAGAAATGGTTGTTGCTAATGGACACAAATATGGTACCAGTGCCTGGACATAAGTGAGGATAAATTATAGTCCCTCAGATCATACAACTTGAGCACCACTGGTAGTAACTATGATCTCTGTCCATGTCAACTGGAAAATTGGTGCTAACTAACCAATCCACAAATATGAGTCTTGCAATCTTTTCAGAAAGAATGATATTTTGGACTTTGACAAGTTTTCAAAGTTGAAGAAATTGTATAGCAGCCAAATATAATCTTCCATATATTCCAATACTTTTTGTGGTTTAGATTTGTTTAAGACCAGTCAGTCAGGTCTTGAGATGTTACTGGAGACTACCATCAATGCATTTGCTAGTAAAGAATAACTTCCTATCTTCTCCAAAGGCAGGAAGGGAGATCAAAGAGAGATTCTTCACACACCTTAATTTAAAAAGTGATTGAAAAAGAATGACCTTGAAAAATTTAAATCTGGCTACACCTTTCCTTTTGGGAGAGCATGTCTGGTGGCTAACATCTAGCCTATCTAGATGATTCTCTCTTTCTGTTAGATTAGTGACATTGAAATGGCTTAACAAACTCTGGTGAATGATCTGGATTGAGGGGTTTGGGGCATAACTGAACACCGTCAGCCTTAAGATACCTTCTTCTGGTGAATGGACACTCCTGTGAGAATTTCTGGACTTCATCTTGAGTGATTCCAGTCTCATCCTGAGACATTTATCAGCACAGCAAACTCATTCCCTAAGTGTTGTGTTACATGAGATCTGAGAAGATGCAAGTATTTATGGAGCAAATAAATACAACTAAAACCCAATGAAAATTGTAAGCAGAACCATCTCCTGATTATAAATAATTTTCACTGAATTACAGTAGGACTGGACATCAGAAATAGTTACTGGACAATAAAGTTTGGCTAGTGAGTTCAGCAACCATTTGTAGTCAAAACTGAAAACATCAAAAGACATCTATCTAGTAAGATGTAATATTGCAATGACTTCCATCAGTTTCCTGGCTAAGTTTTGGCAAAAACCACAGATACAGTTACAGTGACAAAATAACAAAATCTTGGTTTGCAAATATTCAATAAAATCCAGAACATCAGATACTTTTGAAGACTCCATCTCGAAATCCATTCAACTACTCTTCTAGTGAGAGTTAAAAATGGATACGGTACTGCCTGAACTTTCAAATTAAGATGAAATGGGATGGGGACTGATTTTTGAGGCCACCCCTCTTTGCCATAGGAGTGAGATAATCAGCTCTTGACAGCTAAGCATTCAACAATGCTATTGATTCACTCAGGCAGATGCCATATTCAGGGTTAGCTATGTTGGCTATGCAGCAAAATGCAACACAAACCAAAATCCACAAAACAAAAAAAATACAAACTACATTATGCAAGCTTTCAAATCTTCGCTGGCCTTTTCATCAGCCATATATGGGAAGGTGTTTCGTCAGTGTTTTATGTCCTAGTTAGTGTGTAGTGTTTTAAACTGGTGCTTTAGTGTTGTGCTTGAGTTTCAATATAGATTTAGTCTGTTATATGTGTTTGTGTGTGCCTGTCTTTATACAGTACATCCATATTCAAAGTTCCAAAATACTTAAATATTCCAAGATTGTCCACAAAGGTGCCTAAGGCAATGACACTTTTGTTTTCTGATGGTTCGCTGTATACAAGGAGCCCCTGGTGGCACAATGGGTTAAACCCCTGTGCCAGCAGGACTGAAGACCAACATGCCACAGGTTCAAATCCAGAGAGAGGCGGATGAGCTCCCTCTATCAACTCCAGCTCCTCATGCAGGGACATGAGAGAAGCCTCCCACAAGGATGATAAACACATCAAAATCATCCGGGCAACATCGTTGCAAACACTCCTGGTCCCAAGCATTTTGGATAAGGGATATTCAATTTATAGACGAGACAAGGGATAAGGGATATTCAATTTATATAGATTCCCTTCCTCCCTTCTTTTTTTTTTTTTTGCTTTTCCTTCTATTTTGGTGTGTGCTATACCTCGGTGGCGCAGTGGGTTAAAGCGCTGAGGTGCTGAGCTTGTTGACCAAAAGGTCGCAGGTTCGAATCTGGGGAGCAGTGTGAGCTTCCGCTGTCAGCCCCGGACAATGCCGGCTCTTCGGCTTAGAAATGGAGATGAGCACCACACCCCAGAGTCAGACACAACTAGACTTAATGTCAAGGGGACAACCTTTACCTTTACCTTACACTGAATTAAAACTAAAGAACAAATAATATTTTAAAAATCATACAGGAGAAGAAAAATGATGATATTAAGAATCAAAAGCCTACTTTTTTCCCTTATGCGTTAGTTCCACTGTCAATTAGAATTGTCCAGATTCTAATCCAAATTCTAAACTTCATCTTGTTTACACTTCAACTTTTTGAAGTCTTGGCCAATGATTAGGGATTCTGGGAGCTGAAGAGTCTGGAAAACACTGGTCTAGATAACAGCTTTTTAAACTGTGGGTCTTGACCCCAAATGGGATCTTCTTAGCACAATGTTGAGGTTACTAAAAATTGGCAACAGTAAAAGGTTTTTAAATGTCACTACTGTGCTAGACATTTATATTAATCTGTGCCATGTTTACAGTGGATTCTGCAGAAAATGCTTCAGCTGTAGTTTATAAAAAGAAAAAGTCAACCTGTATAGCAAGCCTTGTAAATGCTGATTTTTTTAAAAAAATAATAAATGTTTGATTTGTTTACCTAATTTATATAACTATCTATCCGGAGTCGTGTAAAAATGTCTTGGGCCCAAAGGAGTTGCGAATGGAAATGTTAAAGAAGTTGGTTTAGAAGAATTGCAACACCAACCAGAGGTTTGCAACATATTTCTGTGCTTTTTTAGCTGGCACAGAAAAGATATCAGCTAGATGGGAAAGTACTCTTTCTGACAAGAAAACTATTAAACAGAGATGGTGATTAAATGTGTTTTTTGCTTCCATAAAATCTGAACGTGACATACACAACGACATACCCAAGTTACAATGCACTAATTATTAATGGGTTGTGCATGGCTCTGTCTGGCTAAATGCAGGCCCTTCAGACACCTCACTACTTGATGGCAATT